AATGATAAGGACTGGATTTAAGATTTAAAAAATAATAATTTAAATTTAGTTTAGAGGATGAAACAGCCGAGATGGGCCAATAGGTCACATGTTTTCCCAAAATATTATGTTATGTTATATGTTAAAAAAAAAGTCAGGATATATTTGACTTGAAACTGAGTCTAAAATTGACTTGTTCTCACTCATTTATTCATGTAAGTTTTCATGTAAATTCATGTAAATTTAGAAATTACAAAAAACTATGAAGTTTATAAGAGTTGTATATTATACAACCCTTATGTTGCATATCTGATTTTGGTTTATAGGAATGTTTTTCTAATTGCTCCATTTAAGTCAACCACTAAATAATCAATTTCCAATCTCAATAAGACTGATTGCATATAGAGTATTTGGCTTATTCTAAAAATAACTATAGTGGATTGGTTTGTTTTGAATTTTGCTCAAAGTTACATGAGGGCTATCTGCACTAGCCGTCCCTTATTTAGCAGTGAAAGACTAGAGGGAAGACAGCTATTCACCGCCAACTCTTTTGCCTACGAATAGTGGGATTGATCGTCACCTTATAACATCCTCACGGCTGAAAGGGCGAGCATGCCTGGTGGGATGGAGATTCGAACCCTTGACCCTCAGATTGTGAGTCTAACCCTAACCACCAGGTCATGCCGGGCCGATTAGAGTGAAGATTTTCCACACATAAAATGTGAATTTCCATAAAAATATCACTGCGTGGAATTTTATCAAAACTGTCGATTTAAAGCCATCTAGGTTTTTTTCTGCTGTGAAACGTGTCTTTACATGCACGTCATTACTGTACATATAATTAGGAAGAGTCAGTGCCATGTTAATGCGTGTAACCGCTGACTGGGACGTTTAGCAACTATATATATTTGACTTACATCGAGTTCCTGACCACTGGACTGTGTAATACCACCAGGCGTTTTTATGGATCAAACTTTCACAGCTATTTTCGAGACAGGTCATTCGTGTAGCAAGACTTTTAAACAATGTAAACTTAAATGACAACATGTCGAAGAAGATAGCGTTTAACTTATCCATGGAAGCAGAAAAATTCGTACAGAAGAGCGTTTAGAGTAGCAATGACTGTAAAATAAAACCACGCCCTAAGCTGATCCGGAACAAAGTGAAACTATGATTAAGAAACTCGTCGGACTTAAAAAAACAGGTACAGCAGCAGTATTAGGATCTCTCCTGGCACTATTAACAAGATAGCAAACAAGAATGTGAAGTTGACGAAGGCTCACATTTCATATGTTCTCAAGTACAAACTTTCAGTTACACCTCGAAATCAACAGATATTTCATAACAATAATGGACGAAGAAACAGCTGTATTTCTACAACTCCACTGGACTTTTGTGCATTTTATCAGCTTAACTGTGATCTCGGAATGACGTGTGGTCTATGATTTGTAGAAGTTTATTACAAAGGAAATTGCGTTGTTGTTAAACAGTGCGAAATCATGTTCATCTGACCTAGCATGATAGACGGTATCATTAGTAGTTCTAAAGGCAGCACGGGATCTACTTAGAACACCTTTTTTATAAAGTGCAATCAACTTTCGGTGGAACCATACATTAATCATAATGGACTTGTAAGAACTACATACTTTGTCCAGTATCGAAATTAGTATCATGTCGTCGGATCAACAAACACAAATAATCAAATACAACGGACATCGAAATCATTAATAGCTTGAATAGTGTCTACTTCCCAATAAAGAGATTAACAAAAATAAAGAAATAAACAACTATTAGGTCTTTAATGTGGATGGTCAACGTCTTTCATGAACAGCAAATAACAGTAATAATAGAGATTACGATTTAGAGACTTCTTTAAATAACTGGTGGTTCACAGTATAGGTTTCTTTAATATAATTTTCTGGCTTTTTTATATGATCTTAATTTTTTCCCTTATACAAAGTTTACAATAACTATTTGTTTGTTTGTAATTAAGCACAAAGCTACACAATGGGCTATCTGTGCTCTGCCCACCACGGGTATCGAAACCCAGATTATAGCGTTGTAAGTCCGCAGACATACAGCTGTGCCACTGGGGGGCTACAATAACGAGGCATTAAGCTTCTATAGGAACAAAAAGTTGCCAGAAAAACGTGTTAAATCCACACAATATATCCATAATTGATGCCCCATTTCTGTTTATTGACGTTTCTCAAATTCAACTTAAATGTACCAGTTAACTGTTTAAAGCGCAAACCTATATAACAGGCTATTTGCGCTCTGACCACCGCATGAAATCAAAATCGATATTCCAAGCGTTATAAGTTCGTAAACTTACCACTGACAACCAGTTAAAGGATGCAGGTTGTCAATACTGTGTAACTGTTTCATTCGAAAGATGTGCAACAGTGGTACTAAACTGTTTTGTTTAAGCAAAATGAGATACCTGCACTGTGGACACCACGGAAATCAACCTCACAGTTTAAAGTTTACCAATATAAGCAACCCTTGATCTTACCACTGAGCAAAATATGTTTAATAACGAAATAGACTAGTTTAATCTTGAGGAATTTCGGGTAAACATTTCGAATTGAATATATATATATATATATATATATACCCGGTAAACTTTATAGTCGCTTTGAAACAATATTAGAACTAGGTTCTAAACGTTTATATGTTTTACACTTACCTCCTTAAACCAAGATTAAAATTAGGCTCTGGACGTTACTGCCCAGTAAGCTCTAATCTCAACTCGAGCCCAGATTAGAACAAATTCTGCCCGGTAAAATGTTCAGTCAACTATAACCAGGATAAGATTTTGAACGTTACTACTTAGTGAATGCTACTCACCTCGAACATACAGAGAGGCTCGGTTAGAGAAGGCTGTACCAACAGCATTCTCCGCAACACACTCATATTCTCCGTTATCTTCGTCTTCAGCTTTCGAGATTTGTAGCGATCCTGTTAATTACAGCAACATATTTTATCAAAACAAAACCATGATTCATATTTATTTATGCTATCCTCAACACTCATAAATACACGTATATAATTAGTTTCATTAACTCATAAAAAAAAAGAACATAATTTTGACTCTCGATCAGTATAATCTGGCTTATAAAAACAACAACAAGTTTAGGCTTCTCACAGCTGACTGGACCTATAGTGAAAGGTTTAACTCTCTAACAACCAGAGAGATCTTTAACACGGTCTTACTATAAAAATACCCAAGGTGAATGCAATCTTCTGGCACAGGTAGTACTTAATGAATGAATTTAAACTGAAAGGCACCAGATTGTTCCTAACTTAGAGAACCTCTCAGTACTAAATAAACATTACACAAATAACAGTTACGGAAATGCATTCTAGAAAATACATGGATACGTGTTGTTTCTAAGAGTAGTTAGCGAGAGTAGTGTGTGCATAACACGCACAAAAGTTTTATCAACGACTATAACAGTTAACCTATGTTTTGTTTTATATAAAGCCGCTAGAAGTCTCATAAAATAATCAAAGATAAGAACTATCTTATTGACGTGAAGGTACAATTACGTTGAGGATGGGAATTCAAATTACTAGAACTCTTTATTACATAATCACATCAACGACTGGGGGTTAAATATTAGGGTTGTTAGTTTTAAAATTTACAAATATTATCGTATATACTCAGGCAGGAGTAAAGAATTAAAGGATGGAATACATTCAAGTCCAACAATCTCTGGCAATATATCTTCAAATATCTCAACTAGATGCAAGTTTGTTTGTTTCATTTAAAGAACCTATAACGTGAAGCGTGAGCTAAAAGTATTGTTTTCTCATTCATTTAAAGAACCTATAACGTGAAGCGTGAGCTAAAAGTATTGTTTTTTTTTCGTTGATTTAAAGAACCTATAACCTGAAGCGTGAGCTAAAAGTATTGTTTTTTCGTTGATTTAAAGAACCTATAACGTGAAACTTGAACTAAAAGTATTGTTTTTTCGTTCATTTAAAGAACCTATAACCTGAAGCGTGAAACAAAAGTATTGTTTTTTCGTTGATTTAAAGAA